TGGTTCGGGTGCTATCTCTTGGAGATCCACTCGCTCGTCGTCTGTTGCTCAGTCCAGCTGTGAGGCTGAGATCTACGCCGGTGCCATGGCGACACAGGAGCACCGCTGGCTGACCTTCTTGCTCACTGACTTACGTGGGCAGCCTAGCTCTGCCCCGGTCCTGTACGCTGACAACAGGGCCTTGACTCTCCTGTGCTAGGAGCCTCGACTTATGGGCAGAGCGAAGCATATCCAGCAGCGGTACTTCCTCCTGCGCGAGCTACAGCAGCGTCGCCTAGCCCATGTAGTTCACTTGGCCTCTCGTATCAAAGTAAGAAAACTGAATGAATGAGTAGGGGGAGAGTACAAGTGAATATACCTAAGTGTTGTACCCTCTAAGAGGTGACCCTATACAGTCTATGCAAACATTAGAGATACACATGTTTGGCACACCCCCTAGACTGCATAGGGGCAGGTCCTGAACAAGCAGCTCAGGGTGGCACTACTAGTCCAGCCACAGAGACAAGGGTCTAAAAGACCAGTCAGAAGGAGTACTGGCAAGGAAAGAACAAGACCAGGGCGGCACAACTAGTCTCGCCACTGGGAGAGGAAACAAGTCCAGTCTGAGTACGTATAGATATATACATGAACTAGACCGAGCTGTACACAGTGCCGCTGATGATCTTTAGGCGCAAGCGCCTTCGTAAAGATATCAGCTGTGTTGGCACCGGGGGCCAAGTGTACTACGCGAGCCTGGCGGCGCTGCTGTAGCTCGCGCAGGATAAAGTACCGCAACTGGATGTGCTTCACTCTGCCCTCGAGTCGAGGCTCCTGTCAGGGGAGCATGGCCCTGTTGTCAGCGTATAGGACCGGGGCAGAGCTAGGCCGCGCACCTAAGTTAGTGAGCAAGAAGGACAGCCAGCAGAGCTCCTGAGCCGCCATGGCACCGGTGTAGATCTCGGCCTCACAGCGGGACTGGGCAACAGACGAGGAGCGGGTAGCTCTCCACGAGATGGCACCTGAACCAAGGCTGAAGCAGTAGCCCTGGGAAGTCCTGAGTGTCTCGGCGTCGTCTGCCCAAGAAGCGTCTGTGTGTCCAGTAAGGACCACTGACCTGCGTCCTCCTAGCACTAACCCCATGCCCGATGTACTTGCAAGATAACGCAAAACCCTCTTAGCGGCAGACCAGTGCTGCGGTCGGTGCCTGCCTGTGGCCACAAAGCGAGCCAGGATGCTGAGAGGGTATGCTACATCTGGGTGGGTGCAAGTCATCAGGTACATGAGGCAACCCACCAGCTCTGCGTAAGGACCACTGGGCTCTACTGACTTCTCACAAACTGGAGCAGAGAGTCTGTGGTCTAGAGGCAGAGGGGTGGGCTGTGCAGAGGAGAACTGAAGGCCAAACCTTTGAAGAACCTGGCGCACCAAGTGTGACTGAGTCAAGGTGATGGTGCGCGCTGCTCTGTCCCTGGAGATCTGCAAGCCAAGGTAACGGCGCAGTTCTCCAAGGTCAGTGCAAGTGTGTCTCTTCAGCAGCTCTGCCTTCACGGAGGCCAGTGCGTCCCTGTCAGCTGTGGCAAAGACCAGGTCGTCGACGTAAACAAGGATGTAGAACGGAGTCTGGCCAGCACGAACGAAGAGTGAGGGGTCTGCAGAGGACGGAAATAACTGCAGGTCAGCAAGGGTAGCATGCAGCGTGTCGTGCCACTGACGGGGAGCCTGCCGCAGGCCGTAGACGGGACGCCGTAGGAGCCACTGGGTCCCAGGAGGGAAGGTGCCAGTAAAGCCCTAAGGGCGACGCAGGTAGACCTGCTCGTGAAGGCTGCCCTGAAGGAAGGCAGTGGAGAAGTCGAGGGAGTGAAGCTCGTAGTCACGCTGAGCTGCTAGGTGTAGCAGAACCCGAAGAGTAGTCATCTTCGGGGTCGGAGCGAAGGTCTGGAAGAAGTCCACCCTCTCACGCTGACTGAAACCTCTAGCCACGTAGCGCGCCTTGAACACGGGCGGCTCTCCAGGAGGGCGCTTGACCTTGAAGAGCCAGCGGCCATCGACTACGTTCACCCCAGGCGGGGGAGCTGCGTCAATGAAGGTGCCGGTGGATCTCCAAGATGCCATCTCCTGCTCCATGGCAGCTATCTACTGGGAGGCCCAGGGTCCCGAGGTCGCCTCAGCGTAAGTGCGAGGGGTCGGTATGTCGAAAGCGTCTGGGTCACCCTCAGGGACTAGCAGCATGGAACAGAGATGGGGAGCAGCCTCGGACAGGAAAGCAAGCTCGAACTGGCGGTCCTCCAGGACGTCACTGCCGAGGGCAGGAGCACCCCCGACAGACGGAGGACGGGCAGGGTCAGAGACCAGAGCTGTGGCAAAGTCAAGGCGGCGGGTAGAGGCGAAGTCAAGGTGGCAGTCTCAGCCACAGCTGCAGAACCATCGGAGAAGGTGCACTGAGCGGGGGCACAACCCTGAAAGATAGGGACCGGCACAGTACCGCTCGCCTGGGCGATAGAGCGGTGGCGGGTCTCCATAACAGTCAGGGTGTCTACAAAGTCTGTGAGGGTGAGGTCACCGGGGTGAATGCTAAGGAAGCGGTCACGAGCAGCGGCAAGGCGGTCAGGGAGGCGAGTGGCAAGCAGGTAGAGGGTAAAGGTAAGGGGCGGCTGGTGGGTTCTAAGCTGTGCGTCAGTGCAGGCAGCACGTCAGGTCTCATCTATCGTGCGCAGGTGGGCAGCCAGGTCAGCAACAGTAGGGAAAGACGCAAGGTCAGGAAAGAGCATCGGTAGGATCAGGCGACCCACCGAGGCAGCAGGCGGGGCGGAATAGCGCCGGATAACAGCATCTAAGAAAGCCTGGGCGGTGGTGATAGACCTAAAGCGGGGGCGCTCTGAAGGGGGGAGGGCATTGCTAATGGCAAGCTGTGCGACAGCGTCATGGGAAAGCCAGACAGAGCGAGCGAGGGCAGCGGCCGCAGTAGACTCGCGCTCAGCAGGTGTGGGGTCAGCGGGCAGCACAGCAGGGGGGTCTGGGCAGGGAAGCGTACCGTCAAGATGTGCCGAGAGCGAGTGGCCATCCTGCCGCTGACCAGTGAGGTGGCGGCGGAGGTCGGCTAGCCACGCCTCAAACTCCAGAGGCTGGCCTTCAGCGTCGAAGCGAAGCTCCGCCGCCATCAGGTACAGTGCAGGGCAGGACCAGGTAAGGCAGTGCAGCACGGGTCAGTGCAGTGCAGTGCGGTACTGCGCGTTACAGTGCGGTGCAGTGCGGTGCAGTGCGGTACAGCGTGGTGCAGTGCGGTGCGATGCAGCGCGGTACAGTACGGCGCAACGCAGTGCCGTGCGGTGCAGTGAGGTGCAGTGCAGTGAAAGAAGATGGAGAACTGTACCAGGGAGTGTGCAGTGCAGTAGCAGGCACGAAGAGCGGGCCGCACGCAGATCGGTGGCAGTCTGGCGGGAAGGTGAGCACGGGGCCGGAGGTTGACGGGCAGGGCGCGCGTAGGGAGCCGGTAGGACGGGCGCGGGGGCCGCTAGGACGGGCGCGGGGCCGGCTAGGACGAGCGCGGGGGCCGTGAACAGGCGCGGCGGGGCTAGGCAGGCGCGGCGGGGCCAGGCAGGCGTGGTGGGGCCAGGCAGGCGCGGCGGGGCCAGACAGGCACGGTGGGGCCAGGCAGGCGCGGCAGGGCCAGGCAGGCGCGGCGGGGCCAGGCAGGTGCGGCAGGGCCAGGCAGGCGCGGCAGGGCCAGGCAGGTGCGGCGGGGCCAGGCAAGCGCGGAGGGGCCAGGCATGTGCGGCGGGGCCAGGCAGGAGCGGTAGGGCCAGGCAGGCGCGGCGGGGCCAGGCAGGCGCGGCGAGGCTAGGCAGGCGCGGCGGGGCCAGGCAGGCGCGGAGGGGCCAGGCAGGTGCGGCGGGGCCAGTCAGGCGCGGTGGGGCCAGGCAGGCGCGACGGGGCCAGGCATGCCGCGACGGGGCCAGGCGGGCGCGACGGGGCCAGGCAGGGCGCGACGGGGCCTAGCGGGCGCGACGAGGCCAGGCAGGGCGCGATGGGGCCGTAGCAGGCGCGACGGGGCCTAGGAGGCACGACGGGGCCCAGGAGGGGCGCGACGAGGCTAGGAGGCGCGACGAGGCCCAGGAGGGACGTTAGGAGGCGCGACTGGGCCCAGGAGGGGCGAGACGGGGCTAGGAGGCGCGACGGGGCCCAGGAGGGGCACGACGGGACTAGGAGGCGCAACGGGGCCCAGGAGGGGCGCGACGGGGCTAGGAGGCGCGACGGGGCCCAGGGGGGCGCGGCTGGGGCCTAGCTAGGGTACGGGCGGAAGCGGTAGGTGGGGGATTCTAACCTACGCGTGATACCATATCAAAGTAAGAAAACTGAATGAATGAGTAGGGAGAGAGTACAAGTGAATATACCTAAGTGTTGTACCCTCTAATAGGTGACCCTATACAGTGTATGCAAACATTAGAGATACACATGTTTGACATCCGGTGCCAACACAGCTGATATCTTTACTAAGGCGCTTGCGCCTAAAGATCATCAGCGGCACTGTGTACAGCTTGTTCTTGCTCCTGTAGCTTCTCACTTAGGACCCTGATTGTGTACTCTCTACTATATATATCTGTCTGACTGGCCTTGTGGCCTGAGCTCCAGTGGCTGGACTAGTAGTGCCGCTCTGGTGTGCTTTTGTCTTGTTTGTACTCTTGTTGGCTGGTCTCAAGACCATTGCCTCAATGGTTGGACTAGTAGTGCCACCCTGAGATGTGTGCTTCTTGCTTAGCACCACCCGTTCTCTAGCCTAGGGGGTGTGTCAACTTATACATATGATGTATGTAGAAGTTATAGGCTAGCCTAGGTGTGTGCTTCTAGTGAGTACAACCCCAACAGGTATATATTCTAGGTTTCTCACACTAGTCACTCATCCTCGCATTCTAACAAATCCTACTTTCAGAAAATTTTCCGAGGACCATCGAAGTGACTATAAAAAACCACTCTGATTTTCAGAGAAGAGAGTGAATTACTCAATGTACTCAATGGGCCTAGGCTGTACTCAATGTTAGCGAGACTTGATAAGGGTTAGGGATTTTCCTTACACAAATCAATCACTAGTGCAGAAACTAAAGCCAGTAAGACCTTAGAGAATTAGTAAAAGATGCACAGTATCACTGCTACCACAGCTCACCTCAGATTGGATTTACCACTGTGGTTGCCACAGGTCAGTGCTTCGGGAAAAGCAATGAGCAGCACTGCTAGTAAACAACTACTGCTGGTTAGCTATGGGAAAACCCAGTGAATTACTTGCCCCACCCCAACTACTGCTGATGCTGCTGCTGCTGCTGCTGCTCCGGCTGCTGCTGCTGTTGCTGCTGTTGCTGCTGGTGATACTGCATCCTACCTGCCAGCATACCTGCAGCCACGGCCGCAGACAGCTGCTGCTGCTGATGCCTCGGCTGCCGCTTCCTCTGTTTCCTCTGCTGCGACCCTTCCCCCCGTCCTCCCCCCCCTCCTTCCCGCCCTCCCCCCTGTGCCTCTTGCTGTGCGGCGGCAACTGCTGCTGCTGCTGTGGCATGGCTAGGAGAGAGAATGCCCATCGTGCCGTCGACGACTAGCGGGTTAACGCCTGGTTGGGACCAAGCAAGGGAAGGCACGGTCGCATTGAAAACAACACCTTGATTGAAACAACCTCCTCCTGAAATGCCTTCCTGCGGCTGCTGCCGCTGCTGCTGGGATGCGTGTTGATCATTATCCTCCTCCTCCTGCTGCTGCGGCTGCTGCTGCTGCTGATGCTGCATGACAACGTGTGGGGCGAAAACCATGGTGTAGGGTTGTCCTGATGGTGCTGACGTCACACCAGCAGCAGTGGCGGAACCAGGGTGCATGCCCGCATACATGTAGGGAGAGGCATGCGTACCCCTGTGGCCTGCATGCTGTGGATGGGTTGAATGGTTTGGATGGTTAGGATGACTTGGATGGGTGCTTGGGTGAACGCTCAAATGCATGTTGGCATGCTGTGGCATGCTGCCATGTTGAGGCATGTTGGGATGTTGAGGCATGTCAGCATGTTGTGGTATGTGATGTCCTACTGTAGCAGGCAGGACATAGTGTGGCGCCATGCCATGCGGCATGGGGGGTGGAGGGTACCCATGCATCCCAGCATGCATCCCAGCTGACAAATACATGTAGTGAGGGGGCTGTGGCATCGCATGGTGTTGGCCATGGCTGGACGAGGGATGGGGCATGGCGTGGTGTTGGGTATGGGTGGAAGAGGGGTGTCGCATGGCATGCATGCTTGGAGGCGCATCATACCTCATCTGAGGATGGATGGGAGGGGGGTGTGGCATGGAATGGTGCTGGGCATGGTTCGGGGGAGGATGATGGGGTGGATGCAGAGGGGGCGGCGTTGAATGGGGGCCTGAATGGATGCCTGTATGCGGGTGTGACTGTACGGGGAGGCTAGCGTGACCTGCCACAGTTGCAGCAGCAGCAGCAGCAGCAGCGGCTGCAGCAGCATCTGCAGCAGCAGGTGGTACTGGGGAATGTGCTTGAGTGTATGCGACGCCATGCGACGAGTTTGGCATGGCGGCCACACTCATGCTCCCACCCGTGCCAAAACCCATGTCAGTTTGCACTCCAGTCCGCTCCTGCTGCCTCTGCTGCTGCTGCTTCTTCTTCTTCTGCTGCTGCTGCTGCTGCTGCTGTGGCAGTGACAGATGCCCTCCCGACCCCACGTAGCTAGAGCTACGGGAGATAGGAACGGAGGGTGGCGGGGCCGCATCAAAACCAGCAGCAGCAGCAGCAGCAGCAACAGCAGCAGCGGCAGCAGCAGCAGCGGCAGCGGCACCAACACCACCAGCACCATCACCAGCAGCGGTTGCAGTAGCTGCAGCTAGAGAGGCACCTTCACCTAGATTCTCCTTGCCTCTCCCTGCATCTACATCACCATCATCACCACCACCACCATCACCACCACCATCACCACCATCACCATCACCATCACCATCATCGCCACCACCATCATCACCATCACCATCATTCCCACCACTCTCGTCAACCTCCTCTGTCTCCCCACACTCCCCCTCTTCCTCCTCCATATCCCCACACACATCCACAAACACCTCTCTCGTTCTCTGCCTCTTCCTCCTCCCTCTTTCCTGCCCCGACGAGCCACAGGGCGCAGCTGGAGCAGGTGCCTTCTCGGGTGCTTTCTCAGGTGCTTCCTCAGGTGGCAACTCAGGTGCCCCGAATCCAGGTGCAGCTGACCCCGACACAGTCTGGGCGGCGAATTGGACAGCGGTAACATCAGGCGCACCAGCAGAAGGGTCAGTCGTTACAGCAGCAGGAGTGCTTGTAACAGCAGGAGTGCCGGTTGCAACTTTAGGGGGGTCCAGGACAACCGCAGGGGAAGGAGGGGCAGAGAGGGCAGGGCGGATGGGGGGGGCTGGCAGGGCGAGAAGGCGGGTTGAGGAAAGAGGGGAGCAGAGAAGGCGAGAAGGGGCCTTGGGCTGCTTAGAAGACACTTGTGGAAAGTGCTGATTCGAGGGTTGGGCGAGGTGAGACGCCTGGGGTGGTTGCGGTGAGCTCGACATGAGAGTGGGTGACCCAGGAGCGATTTCACTGGTGATCCCAGCAGCAGCAGCCACAGCAGCAGCAGTGGCAACAGTGGCGGCAGCGCCACTAGCTGAAGAAAGAACAGCAGTCGTAGCTGCAGTGGTACTAGCAACACCAGCAGCAGCAGCAGCAGCAGCAGGAGGAATAGGAGTAGTGTGAGGAGATCCTGCCTGGACCGATGGGTAATAGTTTGAGGGGGGGGGAGCAATGTAACACCCGTACGGAGCAGCAGCCGCAGCCGTAGCAGCAGCAGCACTGTCAGATGCAGCGGCAGCCGTTGATGCCGTGCCATACAGGGCATCCAACGGCTTCTCTGAGCTCGATCTCACCCCGATAGACATCTCCCCACTGTGCCCTGCCAAACCACCACTCCCACCAGCACCACTCCCCGTCACTCCTCCCCCACCTCCTCCTCCCCCTCCCCCTCCGCCTCCCCCTCCCCCACCTGCGTTCAGCGCCCCAGCAGGGTCAGCAGATGTGACCGCCCCCCCAGCAGTAGACGATCGGCTGGCCGGCACCATGCCAGTCGCCTTGGCCTGTTCCTCAATGATTTTCTGGAGGTATTTACCCTGCGCCTCAATCCTCAGCTGCAGCTGCCGCTGCACCTCCAGCTGCTCGTGCAGGCGCCTCTGCACCTCCATCTGCATCCGCAGTGCTTCCGTGATGGGGATGCTGCGAATGCTGCACAGGATGACGCCAGCAGAGAGAGGGGAGGGAGGGAGGGAGAATGAGATAAGGCACCTGAGGAGAGGGCTCGAAATCGCCTCTGTCGCTGCACCTCCAGCTGCTCGCGCAAGCACCTCTGTTTTTGGAATGCAGCGAATGCTGCAAGCAGTGAGAAAGGGGAGGGAGAGAGGAGGCACGTGAGGAGCGGGCAGGAAATCGCCCCTGCTGCTGCAACTCCAACTGCTCGTGCAGGCGCCTCTGCACCTCCATTTGCATCCGCAGTGCTTCGGTGATGGGAATGCTGCAAGCAGCGAGAGGGAGTAGGGGGAGAGACGGTACATGAGAGGAGGGGGTTGGAAATCGCCCCTGCTACTGCAAATTCCAGCTGTTAGTGTAGGCGCCGCTTGGGGGGGGGGGACTGGGGGGTGGTTGGAACGGGGGGGGGGGAGTGGGGGGTGGTTGGAAGAGAGGGGGGGTAGGGATGAACGGCATACACAGCAGAGCAATGACAGGCGTGTAGGGAATGCAGGGAGTGTTGTAGGGAGTGGGGCGGGAATGAAGGGCATACACAGGAGGGAGGGGGGTAGGTTTGAAGGGCATACACAGCAGAAAGGGGGTTAGGAACGAAGGGCATACACAGCAGGAAGGGGGTTAGGAACGAAGGGCATACACAGCAGGAAGGGGGTTAGGAACGAAGGGCATACACAGCAGAAAGGGGGTTAGGAACGAAGGGCATACACAGCAGGAAGGGGGTTAGGAATGAAGGGCATACACAGCAGGGAGGGGGGTAGGTTTGAAGGGCATACACAGCAGGGAGGGGGGTAGGTTTGAAGGGCATACACAGCAGGGAGGGGGGTAGGTTTGAAGGGCATACACAGCAGGGAGGGGGGTAGGTTTGAAGGGCATACACAGCAGGGTCGACGGATGAAAGCCCCGCGTCTGTAGCAACGGGCTGGAAATCCGGAGAAGCAGCAGCGGCAGTATCACCAGGAGTACCACCAGCACCAGCACCACCAGGCACACCAGGGGCACCAGGAGCACCACCATTAGCAGTAGCAGCGGCTGCAGTGGCGGCGGTGGCGGCAGCAGCAGCAGCAGCAGGAGGGAAGGTGGGCGGGGCCAGGGTGGCAGGAGCAGGCGTGAAGTTCCCAGAGGCGGCACGCCTGAGTGCCTTCTCTGTTCTGTCCGCCCTTGGCTCTGCGAGGGACAAGGGGGGAAACGGACGGAAAGGAGTTGCATAAGGTTACCGCTGGCACGCAGCAGGACGGAATGCAGGCAGAGCTAGTGTATCAGGGGCAAGTGCAAGCCCCCGGCCAAAGGTGGCACGCCTGAGCGCCATCTCTGCTCTCTCCGCCCTTGGCTCTGGCAAGGGGGGAACGGGCATTAAGGAGATGCATGAGGTTACCACAAGCGCACAAGCAGCCAGCAAGCAGCAGGAGCGAAGGCAGGCAGCACTAGTGTGTCAGGGGCAGGTGGAACCCCCCCGGAAGCAACCGTCTTAGGCGCTTTCTCTGCATAGCAGCGCATAGGTTCGGCAGAGTGTAGGCTCGGTGCACAAAATTCGGGACCAATTTTCTGTGGCACGACACAGCACACAGCTGTTGGTGAAGTGTAGGAACTTACCCTTTTCTCGGGGTGTGGAAGGCAAAGGCTCTGGAAGGTACTTGGCAAGCCGAAACTTCTGCACAGGCCACGATTAGATGGGGGGGGTTGGGGAAGGGGGGGCATGAAAAAAGAAGTGGGAGGAGAGGGAGATAGGAGTTAGGGGGTTACGGAGGGGAGAAGGGGGAGGCGGGTGGGGGGGAATGGGGGATGGAGATGGACGGAAGAGGGCATTGCGGAGAGAAAGGGGGAAGGAGGGCAATAGGCACAGGTGCAGGGCAGCCTCCTGTAGGGGCGCTCGAAACGTACACCTGAAAGTGCTCAGCCTCTAGAGGGTTAGGTGGCTTGAATATACATGCAGCCCATTAGAGTTGACATCTGTCTGTGCTTGACTACTACAAGGTGGCTCGTTCACACAGAGGCATCTCCTACTAGAGGCGGCACCTGCATGGGTATCTTATCTAGTGAGGCAACATTCATTGTGCGACAAAGTCACGAGGCTCGACAAAATGAACCACACACAGGTGACTCTTGACGTGGTAGAGATCATGCGTCCTGGCACGCATGCCCGTGATGAACGAATCTTCATGATCCCGTGACGAGGCGCATGGTATGGTATGATAAGAAGGATACAAACACACACCTGCAGGTGGCTCTTGACGTGGTAGATCGTCAGTCCTTGCACGCCCATAACGCGCAAAACACCCTTGGGCGTCGCTTCTGCAGATAGCAGGAAACGGGTAAGAATCAGAGGTGAGAATGATTCAAAAGGGTGAGAATCAGAAGAAGGAACTTAGGTCTTTCCTTTCCTGCACGCCCATGTCACGCAAAACACCATTGGGTGTCGTTTATGCAAAGAACAGGGGAAGAAAAACGACAACAACAGCAGCATCTTAGCAGGAGCGAAGGAGGTACGGCAGTGATGCAGTTGGTGGGGGGGGGGAGGAGAGGGAGAAGAGGAGAATGGGAGAGGAGAGAGGGAAAAGTGGGAGAGGGCAGGGGAGGTGAAAGAGCAAGGGCTGGGCACAGGGGAAGAACGGCCAAACTTTCCACTATCACAAAGCAATGACTCACTGCCGCCAGCGCTTCCCAAACTCACTGCCAGCGCCGCCCAAACTTACTGTCAGCGCCTCCTAGTTGCGCCACTGCCTCCACGAATCGTTCATGCAGCTCAGGCGTCCATCGCAGCCTCTGCTTGCCAGAACTCCCGCCGTCGCTGCTGAACCCGCCTCCGCCCCCCATGCTGAACCCTCCTTCCCCTCCCACGCTGCTCGTGGCCCCTTCCCCTCCCGGCCCTCCCATCGACGCTGCAGGCGCAGCCCCCCCCCCAGAAGCTGCAGCTGCTGCAGCGGCGACAGCAGACGCAGCAGCAGAGGCAGCAGCAGCGGCAGCGTCCGTCCCTGCAGCCAACAGATTCATCCCCCCTACAGAGTCAATCCGCCGCATGCTAACCCCATCTAATCCACTACCACCCCCACCGGCAACGCCACCACCAGGAGCAGCGGCACCTGTTAAACCCGGTGCGGCTGGCGCCCCAATATTGCCCTGAATCCCAGCACCAGCACCAGCAGCAACAGCACCCGCAGCAACGGCGGCAACAGTACCGGCAGTGGCGGCGGCAACATTGACCACTCCTTGTGATGATGCCCCTGCCCCGTCTCCCCCTACCGCTCTGCGTCCCCCTCCCCTTTCCCCTCCCCCTCCCACTCCGCCGCTGCTCCCAGCCGTCGAAGCAGAGGAGGCGGGCGCAGCCACGCGGAGAGCACAAGGCACGGCGCCAAGAGGCGCGGGCAGGGGCAGGGGGAGAGGCAGAGGGTCCCTTCCCCCCGGGTGAATCTGTGCGTACATTCCTGGCACGGCAATGAGGGAGAAACGGAGGTCTGAGGACGCGTAGGGGTTGTTGTAGGGCGGGTATTGAGCCCTGGAAAGAGGGGAGGCCGGGAGGTGGGTTGAGGGTGGATAGATGGGGTGGGGTGTGCTTGCGTGTTGTTGTGCCTGGTGCTGCTGGTACTGCTGCTGGTGCCGCTGGTGATGGTGGTGTTGCTGGTGCTGCTGATGCTGTTGGTGTTGCTGTTGCTGTTGCTGCTGCGGCTGCCGCTCACAATGTAACTGCTGATGAGATTGCTGCTGCTGATGTGGTTGCTGCTGCTGGTGTTGCTGCTGACTTCCTTGCTGCTGATTCTGGTGCTGCTGGTTCTCTTCCTGATGGTTCTCTTGCTGCAGCTGCCGAGAGGTGAGTTCCCAAGGCAAAGAACACGACGAGCCTTGCTGCCCTCCTGCTTCTGCTGGCTCTAGCTTCGACGAGGGAACCACCTGCCGGGACAGCAAAGGCACCGGAGGATAGTTAGCTTTTGAGGCGCCTCAAAAGAAGAGAGGGCGACGAGCCTTGCTGCCCTCCAGCTTCCGCTGGCTCTAGCTTCGCCGGGGGAACGACCTGTAGAGATGGCAGCAAACGCAACGGAAAGCGGAAACGGAGGAAATATGCAAAGCAGCTGAGGCAGTCAAGGGAGTGGAACCGCAAGCGGAAGTGACATTCTTGAGTCGACTCAAACGTCAGCCAAGACGCGGAGCTCAAATGACCCATCAAACCAGTGGCATTAGAGCCAACGTTCCCTATAACCTCCCATTCGGCTGCATCTACCTTAACCCTCTGCACCCACATAAACTCCCCCTTTCTCCATTTATCCTGCCACGGAATTACCCCTTCTTTCCATTCCCCAAACTTTCATCCGTACTCCCGACGCAAGAACTCCCCCCGTTCTCCTTCCCCTCCCTTCCCCCCTCCACCCCCCCCTTCCCACCTTCCCCCTTCCCCCTTCCCCTAAAGCACCAACCAACCACCCACCTCGTCGTCGACCTTAAGCAACTCCGCCCAGTCAGTCCCAATGCCTTCGTCAGGAGTGTACTCCGGCCACTGGGGCCAGTCACAGCCCGTCCCAGCCGTTGCTGCTGGCCCGTCCGCCTCTCCTAGATCCTTCTCCCTCCCCGCGTTGCATCTTCGCCCTCTCGTGAACCCCCTCCCCTCTAATCTCTCCTCCGGTCTCCCCTCCCCGTTGTCTATTTTATCCGATTCGTCGGTCCACATGCTCTCCAAGCCCCCCACCTCCATCCGACTCTCGTTATTGTCACGATTTATCTCATCCCCGTTACCAGCATCCCCGATGAGCACAGAAGCCGCCTTCCCGCCCTCGGGGGCCTCGCAGCCCTTCGCGAATCTCGTTGTAACGGCTCCTCCAGCATTGTTACCATCTAGATTGTTACCATCTAGATCGTTACCATCTAAATTTTCGAGAGCTTCCGCACTACCGAACATGGTCGCGAAAGCAACTGGCGGAGAGTTGACGTAGAAACCCTCCGCGTAAACATGGCCGCTCGCGAAAGGCAGCGGAATCGGAGACACGTGCGAGATACGACGGTCGGACATGATGGTGGGAGAAGGCTGGTCCGAAGCCAGATTATCAAACTTGGGTTGCTGCTGCTGCTGCTGCTGCTGCTGCTGCTGCTGCTGCTGCTGCTGCTGCTGCTGCTGCTGCTGCGATCCAAGTTGTAGAACCTGCTGCTGCTGCTCCTGCTGCTCCCGCTGATGCGACTGATGCTGCTGCGGATGCTGCTGCTGAATAGGGAACGCTGGGGGAGGGAGAAACAGGACGTCTTGCATTCGCTGATGCTTCTGATGGGTTTCCCGATTCCGATGGTCGTGCGGAGCTCCAACAGGCTTCGAGGCCATAGAAATTGTGGAAACCTTGAGATCAATCGGCTTATCAAGCTTATTAAACTTATCAGGCTTACTGCACTTATCAAGCTTTCTGCACTTATCAAGCTTACAGCTCAATGCACTTATCAAGCTGACCGAACGGAGCCGTAGGGTGCGACAACTGAAACGGTTCTCGTGCAGCTATGAGGCTTTTTAATCCAAATGGTGTCGATGCAACCCTTAGAGACCGAGGGGACCAATCAGGAGCTGCAGGACCGTCCCATACAATTCTCGTGCGGGCTACGATAACTGAAATTCAAATAAACCCGGCAGACCAAGTTTCCAGGCCGAGGCACAAGCACGAGTAGACAGTCAGGGCGAGGAAACCGGAACTGCGGAAGAGCCTGATCGGCGGATCGGAGAAACAGAGGAACTCTCTGCGTGCCACCGTTCTTAAGATCAGGCTCTGGGCTGAAGAGCCTGATCTATAACTGCGATAATTCCCATCACTGTGATTACAGTTTCAGTAAGCACAGCACTAGAAAGAACCGAGATGCACAGAATTGATCTGTGTGCGCAGAAACTAGATCGAAACGGAAGCCCCTTTTCCTTGCTTCAACCCCACAGGCTGGTCACTTCATGTCCGACGTGACACGCGACGTGAAAGAGCAGAGCCTGCTCTTTTTGTCATCCTAATTTACCTGCACTCCAACAGCCGCAGCGTGACAAGTGTCACGACAATTGGTGAAAAGCCTGCCACAGCAGCGGCCATTGGTGGTGGTTTCCTTGCCTGCCGTGAAGAAAGGAGGGGAGGAGTAGCAAAGCACACGCGGACCAGCACCACCTCCAGCAAGCAACCATGGCTGCCTGGCTGCTGGTGCTTCAGAGAGCTGACGTCATTGGGTCTAGTAAGATGCGAATATTTTTGTCCCCTCGAGCTCTGCATGCCCATCAAGAACCATACAGTGCTGCTGGCGGGAAAAAAGATTCCTTTGACATCGAGAATGGCCGCACGATGAAGGTTATCGAACGGTCAAAATAGAAATCATGGTAACCTGATTTCGTCTAATATATTCGCCACAAAACCTCAAATAGTGTCACTTCACCCGATCCGAGCCCAAGGGTTGATTGAGCACTTTTTTCCAGCCAAACCCCACAAGCAACCCGCGTTTCCGACAACGAAACGCCACCGATCCTGAAAGCGAACCCACCAAAGCTCCCAACCACCAGCTTGCAGCTCCAGGCCGACCAGGTAGGGTCCCGCTGATGACCTGATAACGCGGATCCACCAAAATCATATAGCTTGTGTCTTACGACTTAACAACAACAATAAACTCATGCTTCAAAATGTTAATGGCCTATGTTCAATATTCCCATTCCATAAACATTTAAATAAAACTACGGTTTAAAACCCCCATCGATCTCCCCGAGTAGGTGGCCGAACTCAATACCCCATTGCAATTGGGCACAAAGAGCGACGCATTTGAAATATTAAACAATCATAAGACGGTCATATGACCTTCAAGATTGAACTATAGATGTGTGTTTTGTGGAAGCGTTGATTGGTTGAGAACTCTGTTAGATTGAATGCAACTCAACAGAATTTATCATGGCGAAGGAGATACAGGGCTATATAGCGATACAAGAGAATGCACGTTTATCTGAAACAGAGACATACATGTGTATCTGTCAAACATATTTATGCATGTTTAATAGACTACATAGGGTCATGCCATTGAGAGTACAACCGACTAGCTCTGATACCATCTCAGTACCAACTCCAGACCAGTCCTCGCCGCGGCCTTGTGTGCGGTAAGACCGCTCATACCTCTACTCGCTGTTTCAGTCGCCTCGACGACCTGTTTCGTCTCCGCTTCGGCCCCGCGCCGGACCTCCCTGACTGGCACAATCTGCTCCGCCGTGGTGTAAGGATCTTTGATATGGATATGGATGAGATTAGCTCTGCATTGTATGTCGATGACTCTACTGTGACTGGTTCCTATTACCACGTATTGCCTAGTGTAGGTGTGTCCAGTGTGCCTAGTTTAGGCTCCCCTGCTGCGTTAGGCGTAGGACCTTTTGCTTTGTTTAGCCTTGGCTCAACCCTAGCTCCTTCGCCCCCAGCCGTCACTGCCGCGCTCTCCTTAACTCTCGACTCTGGCGCGTCTCGGTGTTTCTTTCGGGACCACACTACGCTTACGCCGCTTGCCGTCCCTGCCGCAGTTACCCTTGCAAACCCTTCCTCAGGTCCGGTAGTCGCTCGTAGTTCCACCACTCTCCCCTATCCGGCAGTTCCTTCGGACTCTCTTACAGGCTTGCACATCCCCTCGTTCTCTCGGAATCTAGTTGGTGTCGGCTGTCTTTAGGACCTCGGCATCACCACTACGTTCCCTGGTCACGAGAGGTACGCTGTCTGTACCGAGGCCGCCACTAGTGCCCCCCTCACCACATTCGCCTGGAACCCGGTGTCTGGCCTGTTCACGCTGCACACCGCATCCCCCCCGGTTGGGACGCCCCAGCAAGTGGCAGCGTCTACCCAGGTTGCTGCGGCTTGCTCACCGTGTTTCCCCTGGAGCGGAAGGCTGACGTGCCCGAAGTTCTTATCCCGTGGCTTGTCTCTGCGCGTGTGCACCGAGGTCTCCGTGTGTTGCGTCTTCACTCCGACCGTGGTGCCGAGTTCGCCTCTGGCTGCCTTGGTCGCTTCTGTCGTGCGGAGGGCATCACCCAGACGTACACCCTGCCGGACTCCCCGTAGTAGAATGGGGTCACTAAGCGACGCATCGGTTTGGTCATGGAGGTCGCTCGTACCTCCATGATCCATGCCGGTGCACCCCATTTTCTGTGGCCATTCGCCATTTGTTACGCCACCCACCAGCTTAACATGTGGTCGCGCTCCTAGCGGCCGCAGGTTTCACCGACCCTCCTCTAGTCTGGGTCTCTTGGTGACGCGTCTGCATTCCACGTCTGGGGCTGCCTTGCTCACATTCGTGCCTCTGGCACGGACAAGCTCACTGCCCGCATCGTCCCCTGTATCTTCCTAGGTTTCCCCTTCAATTCGTCTGACTGGCACTTCTACCACCCGCCATCTCACCGTTTCTTTCACACTCGCGACGTCACCTTTGGCGAGTCCGTCTCCTTCTACCACCGCTTTCCCCACCATGGTCCCCCGGTCAATCCCCCTCAGTTCTTGGTTCCCCCCCCTCCCCCGGTCGCCCCTACTCCTCCCCCTCCCCGCCCTACCTCGTCTGGTGTATCTCACGTCACCCCCCTCCTGTCGGTTGTCTCTGCCGAGGGGTCTGCTGACTCTTGTGGCTCGGCGGAGTCCCTTCCCCCGCTTGTCCCCGCCCCGGTCTCTCCTCCCCTGTCGCCGTCGTTACTGTCACAGCCGCAGCTGCCTCCGCAGCTACCGTCCCCGCTGCAGCCGCAGCCACCATCGTCACAGCCGACTCCGCTCTACATCCTTGTTTACGTAGACGATCTGGTCTTTGCTACTGCAGATAGAGATGTGCTAGCCTCCATGAAGGCCGAGTTGCTGAGGAGACACACCTGCACTGACCTAGGAGAGCTGCGCTGCTACCTTGGCTTGTAGATCTCCAGGGACAGAGCAGCGCGCACCATGACTCTCACATAGTCACACTTGGTGCGCCAGGTCCTTCAGAGGTTTGGTCTTCAGTTCTCTTCCGCACAGCCCACCCCTCTGCCAGTATACTACAGACTCTCTGCTCCAGTCCCGGAGGAAGCTGTAGAGCCTAGTGGTCCTTACGCAGAGCTGGTGGGTTGCCTCATATACCTGATGACTTGCACTCGTCAAGATCTCGCATACCCTCTCAGCATCCTGGCCCGCTCTGTAGAGAGTGGCTCGGACGGGGGGACCAAATTGCTGGTGCCATATGTCTCAAGAGGTGCGATGCCCGCGTGAGCATCGATATAGTTCACAAGAAGCATTGGCCGAGGGAGCTGGTAACTCATCTGAGCGAGCGGGGGCACTGACAACGAGAGCAAGGAATTCTCGGTCGATGAGTTCCATAGGGATTGGTCTTTCCCGAGGGTCATCTACCTCAAGTTCGGTTGTGGGATGAAATCTCCGAGTGACAAAAACTCGGTCGATGGGACCCATAGGGATTGGACTCGCGCGGGGATTGAGACTAGAGCCAGGTTCGCTAGTATCTGCGTCTTCCGGTTCAGTTGTGGGTCGTGGAAGGTGAGGTGAGGTGGTCGATGGATTGTTGATATCAGTGAGCTGTGGGATTTCGTCCTTAGTGGAGGGCCCGATGGGCATGGAGCTGAGTGGGTGAGGGCTGTGTGGTTTGGGAGGAGGTGAGACGTAGCACTAACGCTCCCAGTTGTATAAGTCCTTATCAAAGGGCGCCTCGTCGTACTCGGCCCAGGTCTGTGGTGCTTGAGGAGGGCGACCAAGAGGAACAAAGGCACCTAGCATTCTTCTCTCACTGTCCTCTTCGTTGTCCTCATTGTCTGCGCCGTCATTCCAATCGTCGTGGTTCGGAACCCAAGGGTCTCATGAGGGGGTGAGTGGACTGGATGTTCCTCCAGGGTCCCCACAATGGATTTCTGTCTCTGTCTTCTAGAGTAGTGCTCCATCCCACTGAGACGGGTGCAGTCCATGCGGAAATATGGTGAGTTATTGGGGCGCCAATCTCTTCTCTAGTTTCGATGGGTCTATTCGTGTGAGAGTACGACCCCGTTACACTTCTTTCTCATTTCTATATTTCTTCTCTATCTCATTCTCCTTTTTATCCGGATTCATTTGATCTTTATCTCATCTCATCTGGTTTCTTGTTCCTTATTTTTCATTATCCTTTGGTTTATCCTATTATTACAATTTTATCACCAACCAGGCTCGAGATGTACTAGAGTGCTACTGTATATCTAGTGTAATCCAGCCGTTATCCCTCCAAGCCAATAGCCTCGCGTGGCTATACACTGGGTGATTATATTCTCTAGAAAAGTCTATTCCCTTTGGATAGGATAAACCTAGTTACTTGGTGTACCTTGGGATTACAGTATAAAAGCGCCTTGTATCGATCGATAGAGCAACTTTCTCTTGACCAATTCGATCATGAGACATTTTGGTTCTGTTGCTGTTACGATTGTTGCTGGTGTTGTCCCTGCTAGTGCTGCTGCCTTTGCTGCTGCTGCTGCTTCTACTGATGCCTCTCGTGCTGCTTCTACTGCTGCGATCATGGATGATGTTGCCGCTTCCTCTACATCCCTCGTTGCTGGGCCGGTCCTTGCTGCTGTTTCTGCCAGCGAGCGTGCCCAGGTGGCCATGTCCACGACAAGTTTGGTAGCATGGTTGGCACTTTCCTGAGGCGTGAGTTCTCTCTAGTTGGAATAGAAGGCCATGCGTGTGGCTAGGTCCGATGAAGTTGCTTGCCAGGTGTCGTCTAGGGCACCTGGCCTCATGTAGGTGAGATTGTCGTCTAGACACTGTCTGGCGGCGTATGGAGGGTATTCCGTTCCTTAGGGAGGGACGATTGTGATAGCTGTAGCAATTTCAAAGAAGGTCATTCTGAATTCAGAGGCATGGGTTTTGTTGGTATCTCTATCATCGAGAAAATCGAGGCCGGTAATGGCGATGTTACTCATGGAGGAAGTAGGGGTCCGGCAGGTACGACTGATCCTGTTCGGTCCGGGGTTATAGAGATAAGTTTGTGCTAGGTGCATGTGATGCGCAACCCAAGGGGGGCCATCAGGGTTGAGGTATTTGTCGTCCGTCCATGCAAAGTTGAGAGGGATGAGGTCAATAAGCTCATGGCTGTCTCCAAAATTTAGACTCTTTCGGCCGCGTGAGCACGGCGATATACTGCACGGGATTCTCTAGCTGATTGGGTAGGTTGGGTCACCTGTTATGCAGGAGAATGTCTCAGGTACGGGGGTCAATGCGCAACT